CCCCCCCCCAGTTTCAGCTCTCCCACTGAAGGCTCTCAGCTGTGGAGGGAACCCAGGCGTCCGGGTTCCCACACTTGCCACCCTGTGCTGTGCCATGCAATCCACCAGCACGACACCCGCCCCCCCACACACCTTCCTGCAGAACGGACCCCCAGGTGCCCTGACACCCCCCCCCTTTGCCCCCAGGTCCATGCACACATCATCAGCCGCCTGAAGAAGGAGATGCCCTCCGTCTTCGGGAAGGACAACAAGAAGAAGCAGCTCATCACCAAACTGCCGCTCCTCTTCGCCCGCATCCAGCTGGAGCATCACATCCCGCCCGGAGACTTCCCCGACTGCGCCCGCATGCAGGTGGGGGTCGGGGAGGGGGGGGATTGCCATGTCCGTGCAGGGGGTGGGGGGCAGCGGGATGCTGACCCATGTGCTGGGGGGATCTGGTGGGATGATGAGCCCTGTGCTGGGATGCTGACCCCTGTGCTGGAGGGTCCAGTGGGATGCTGACTTCCATGCCAGGATGCTGACCCCCATGCCAGGGCAATCCATCAGGATGCCAACCCCTGTGCCAGGGTTCCGTAGGGATGCCGACCCCTGTGCTGGGGTGTCCGGCAGGATGCTGATCCCTGTGCCAGGGTTCCGTAGGGATGCCGACCCCTGTGCTGGGGTGTCCGGCAGGATGCTGATCCCTGTGCCGGCATGCTGACCCCCCATGCCGGGATGCTGACTTCCATGCCAGGGGGGGTCCATTGGGATGCCGACCCCTGTGCCAGGGTTCCGTAGGGATGCCGACCCCTGTGCCAGGGTTCCGTAGGGATGCCGACCCCTGTGCTGGGGTGTCCGGCAGGATGCTGATCCCTGTGCCGGCATGCTGACCCCCCATGCCGGGATGCTGACCTCCATGTCGGGGAGCCTGGCAGGATGCTGACCCTTGTGCCAAGAGATCCATCAGGATGCTGAATCTTGTGCTGGGGGGGGAGTCTGGTGGGATGCTGACCCCCATGCCAGGATGCTGACCCCCATGCCAGGGCAATCCATCAGGATGCCAACCCCTGTGCCGGGGTGTCCAGCAGGATTCTGACCCCCATGCCAGGATGCTGACCCCCGTGCCAGGGGATCCGTCGGGATGCTGACCCCCTCCCCGTGTCGTGTGTCCCACCCCCCCTCCTCCTCCCCATCCAGGAGCTGCTGCTGGTCCACGACTTCGCCCGGTTCCCGGGGCTGAAGCCACGGATGCTGGAGGCGCTGGACGAGCTGCTGACGACCGACATCGCCGCCCTGATGCCGTTGCTGCGTCAAGAGGAGCTGGAAGCACCCGAGGGTGGCGGGGTGCAGGGGGGAGCCTTCGACGGTACCCGTCAGGGTCCCTTCAGCGGGACGGAAGAGGAAGAGGAGGAAGGCGAGGAAGAGGAGGAATGGGTGGTGACGAAGGACAAGGCCAAGTACGACGAGATCTTCTACGGGTTGGCTCCGATGGGGGGGAAGCTGAGCGGGCGGCGGGCGCGGGGGTGGATGGTGAGCAGCAACTTGCCCAGCTCGGTCCTGGGACGAATCTGGCAGCTGAGCGACGTCGACCGCGACGGCATGTTGGACGCCGAGGAGTTCGCCTTGGCTGGCCACCTCATCGGGGCGAAACTAGAGGGGAGGGGGCTGCCGGCTGACCTGCCCCCCCGCTTGGTGCCCCCCTCCAAGCGTCGGCCCAAGGGATCCGCTGAGTAGCCCACCCCCCCC